GGATCTTAGAGCCAATAGGGATGACAACGCCAATAACATACAAGGAAGCAAGTGATCCAAAACATGAAACAATGAGAAATACTCTCAGCACCCCCCACACAAATATATTTAAGTACCAACAATTCTATTGGGGGACATGACAGTTTTTAAAAATAAATGTGCTTTTTATTTGTTCAGTACACTAGCCTGAAGGACAAACCAAAAATTATAACTTTAAAGATTTTTATTTATTTATTTATTTATTTGAGAGAGAGAGAATGAGAGACAGAGAGCATGAGAGGGAGGAGGGTCGGAGGGAGAAGCAGACTCCCCACTGAGCAGGGAGCCCAATGCGGGACTCGATCCCGGGACTCCAGGATTATGACCTGAGCCAAAGGCAGTCACTTAACCAACTGAGCCACCCAGGCGCCCCTAAGATACTACTCTTAAGTGGACCCAGAAGTATATTGTGGGTCCCAATTTTTAGAGCACTGTTCAAAAATGTGACGTTTGTGCTAAAAGCCATCCTAAGACTGGCCCCCACCAGCTCTGAAAGGTATACAACTTAGAGGTACCGAACTTGGAGAAAACCAGCAGGTAGACTTTACTATTATGCCAAAAACAACAGGTAATTTTCAATATTTCTTAGTATTTGTAGACACCTTTACAAATTGTGTTGAAGCTTTTCCATGCCATTCAGAGAAGGCCTCAGAAGTTGTCAAAAACACTTAAAAAAAAGATTTATGTATTTATTTGAGAGAGAAATTGAGAGATTGAGAGAACGAGTGGGAGGAGGAGCAGAGGGAGAAGCAGATTTCCTGCAGAGCAGGGAGCCCGATGTGGGGCTCCATCCCAGGACCCTGGGACCATGACCTGAACTGAAGGCAGACGCTTAACTGACTGAGCCACCCAGGCGCCCCCCCAAAATTATAACTTACTAGTAAAATGAAAAGGAAAAGTTCTTTGGCCAGGGATATCCTCTGTTCTTTGAACCATGTGTTTTGGAATAACCTCAGGGGCAGCTTTTCATGTTTTGTGTAATTATGTTCAAGCTCTGAATCTATAATTTGTTCTAATTTTCCATGAATGCTCCCTTGCCACCATTTATTCTCTGCTCTCCCACAATTTACTAAGATCTATATTGTTTGCATATTGTATAGGTAACTAGGAACCTTTAGAGAATCTTTTGTCATTATTCTTAAAATGACCAGGGGGAATGAAGGAGGACTGTATTTATTTATATATCATGTGTAATTTTTTAATCTTTTAAAATATGTGTATTTTTTATTTTTTTTTTAAGATTTTATTTATTATTTGACAGAGAGAGGGAGAGAGCACAGCAGGGGGAGCTGCAAGCAGAGGGAGAGGGAGAAGTAGGCTCCCCGCCTGAGCAGAGAGCCCGACATGGTGCTTGATCCTAGGACCCTGGGATCATGACCTGAGCTGAAGGCAGATGCTTAAACAACTGAGCCGCCCAGGCACCCCTAAAATTTTATTTTTAAATAAACATTGTATTTAAAGTGTACAACACACAGAAATAAAGTGTACAAGACAATAATGTAATATACATATACATGGTGAAATGATTGCTATAGTCAAGCTAATTAATATATCATCTCCTCACATGGTTACTATTTCTGTGTGTGTGATGATAGCACCTGAAATCTACTCTTGCATCGAATTTCCATTATTCAGTATAGTATTATTAACTATAGCCATCATGCTGTACATTAGCTTTGGAGACTCACTCATTGTACATAACTGCAGCTTTGCTCCCAGTCTCGCCCTATTTCCCACCTTCCTGCTCCTGGTCACTACTGTTATACTCTCTGCTTCTGTGTATTTGACTTTTTTAGATTCCAAATATAAGTGAGATCATGCATTTTTTTTCCTTCAGTGTCTGGTTTATTTAATTTAGTATAATGCCCTCCAGGTTCATCCGTGTTGTTGCAAATGGCAGATATTATCTGTGTATTTATATTAGGTGAACCATATGAGATTGCTGATATTTGATAATTTTTAACCTACAAAGATAGCAATTTCATATGGCTCAATCCAATATAATTAGAGCTTGAATAGAAGCAGATCTTATGGCCTGGTCATAAAAACTCCTTTTTCTGCTAAGGGAGAAAAAAATTTGGAAAAAATAAAAGCCACTGTAAGTAGTTGTGTCATATGTTAGTAACCTTAAAATTCACTGCTACTAACTAAATGTTGAACTTTTGATAAGCCATTGATGTTTGATGGAGACAGGGCAGGGGACACCTTTGCTTTGAGTCTAGAGTCAAGGTCAGTGGTGTTTCCAATGCTTTGGCTCACTATTAGATAGGCTTTGTTTTCATTTTAACATCTGAGGGAAAATGACTGATAAGGGGAGTCAGAGGCAGAGCTGAAAGGATCAATATCACAAAGAACCAAGCTAAATTCACTTCCTCACTGTCGGGTGGCTTTAATTGTCGTACAAAGAAACAAGGCTGTTGCTGTTTGAAGAATTTCAAACTCAGATGTTCCAGAATGTAAGCTTGTAATGCTGTTAATGCCATCTGTCCCCTAGAACAGATTTCTTGTTGAGTTGTAGGGCTCTCTCCTCCTCTGGCATCACGTGATTCCAGAATCTGGTCTTCATTCCCTTGTGTTTCAATAAGCCACACCACCTTCTTAGAAATTATGGATCTGGGCGCACCTGGGTGGTTCAGTTGGTTGAGCGTCTGACCTCGGCTCAGGTCATGATCTCAGGCTCCACGCTCAGTGGGGAGTCTGCTTGTCCCTCTCCCTCTGCTTCTCCTGCCCCACCCCCCGCTTGTGCTCTCTCTCAAATAAATAAAATCTAAAAAAAAAAAAATTATGGATCTGATTTTTTCCATAATGAAGAAATGCTATCCCTATCTTCCCTTTACATAACACATGAATCTCTTTTTTTAACTCTGAAAAGTAGGACCAAGAGCTTTGCTTAATTTGAGAACAAGGTCAGAAAATGAGATCCAGTGAAACAGATGATTGTAGTTATCAACATAACATGCATAAAATTGGCCATTGGTAGAAACAAAGTGGCCTAAGAACTTGGTTTCTAAGTATATGTTAAGAGATGTGTAAGTTTGGACAATTACCTAACCTGACTGTGTCTCAGTTTCTGGATATGTAAAAGATAGATAATAATAGTGCCTACCTCAAACAATTATCATGAGGATTAAAGATAATCTGTACAAGGCTGCAAGATTTAGCAAATAAAAATACAGAAAGCCCAATTAAGTTACAATTTCAGATGAACGACCAATACTTTTTTAGTATAAGTATGTCCAAATATTGCATGGGATATATGCCTTCAAATTAACTGTGGGGCATCTGGGTGGCTCAGTCAGTTGAGCATCCAACTCTTGGTTTCGGCTTAGGTCACGATCTCAGGGTTGTGAGATAGAGGCCTACATTGGGCTCCTTGCTCAGCGAGGAGTCTGTTTGTCCCTCTCCCTCCCCTTCTGTGCCTCCCCTGCCCACCCCCACCCCCCGCCCCTCTCCCCACTCACGCTCACATACACATTCTCTCAAATAAATAAATCTAAAGACAGAGAGAGCACAAGCAGGGGAAGGGGCACAGGGAGAGGGAAAGAATGTCAGGCAGACTCCCCACTGAGCACAGAGCCCTATGCAGGGCTTGATCTCACCATCCTGAGATCATAACCTGAGCTGAAATCAAGAGTTGGACGCGTAACTGACTGAGCCACCCAGGTGCCCCATAAATAAATAAAATCTTTTAAAAAAGTTGGTGTAGGGCACCTGGGTAGCTCAGTTGGTTAAGCGACTGCCTTTGGCTCAGGTCATGATCCCAGAGTCCCAGGATCGAGTCCCACATCAGGCTCCCCACTCAGTGGGAGTCTGCTTCTCCCCCACCCTCATGTGCTCTCTCTCTCACTCTCTCAAATAAATAAATAAAATCTAAAAAAAATGGTGTATATTAAAAAAAATTTTTTTAACTGTGCAATTTTAACTGTACACATTAGGGTACCTGACACAAATAAATAGCTATTTCCCATGTCTCCATCAAGGCTATGGTGAAAGTGGGAAGGCACTCACAAATCTCAACTAGCAGACTAAATTGTCACAATATAAGATAAATAATGGTTTGCTAGCTGGCTGTTTACCTTTCTACCCCCTCCCAGATGTGAACTCCAAGAGGGTGATAACCATATTTTGTTTCTCTTTTCCTACCTTTACCATCTAATATCTAGCATAGTGTTTTGCACATAGCAGGGGCAGGATAAATGCTTATTAGAAAGAAATTCAGGTAAGAACCTGGATAAAAATTTGGCCATGTTTTCAACACTGGCTGGCTGGTCAACACAAATATTCCCGTCCAGTGAGAGAAGCTAGGGGCATGAAGCTGGTTGTCAGGATCCATTGAAATCTTCCAGTTCCAGTTCACTTTATCTTGATTCCATTTTTACCCAGCAACAGATATCTTGAGGCTGTTTCTCAACTAGTATTTCCTCTTGGGAATTGTATATGCTGGCCACACAAGTATTCCATTCTTGTCAATAATCTTCCTCAAGACAAATGAATAAATGGATGAACAGAAAACAACAGAGTTCTCTAGAATGGATTCTTGATTCTTGGATTCAAATCTTGGTTCTACTACTTATTAGCAGTGTGACTTTGGCCCTATCATTTGACCTCACACCTCAGTCTCCTTAACTGTCAAATGGGAATAAAAGTATAGCTATCTTAAAGGATGCCAAAAATTAAGAGTTAATATATGTGAAGTCTTTAGGACAGTGCATGGCATGTGGTAAGTAACGTATAAATGTTAGCAAAAAGAAAGAAAGAAAGAGAAAGAAAGAAAAAGAAAAGATGAGCTCCAGATTTTTGCTCACACACAAGGTGTCTAACACCCTTCAGTGAACTGGACAGTTTTGTCATCCTTCCTGATGGCTTTTCTGTGGAAGTGTGAACTTTCTCTTGTGCATGGCCAAGGCAGACCTTTGTCAAAAGCCCTTACACATTTATGAATTTTCTTCTTTCTTTGACAGGCGTCCTGCTGGGGGGCTGTGACCCTTTGAAGAGAAGGCAGTCCCTCTGTGCATAGGAGTGCTCTTGGCCACCATGCTTTCCAGCCAAGGGTGCTGCCCATGGGACTGAATCGATGGAAAGACCTTCCAGAGATTCATACCCACCGGATGCCACCCGCATACATTCTGCATTGCTGCGCTTGGGTCTGGGCACAAGGGGGTGGGAGAGCAGACAGTGGGGAAACATAAAACTAAGCCCCGTCTGTCAGCGTGCACACACACTTAAACATCTTTTCATTTTGAGGAACTGACTCGAACCCTGTATGGAACTGCACGAAAAGCAGCTGGAGGCTGAAGCCGTGACTTGGAGCTGTGGTTCTCAAAGTGTGATAGCAGGATTGTTATCTGCATTAGCATCACTGAGGGACTTAGAAATGCACAATCTAGGCTCCTGCCCCAGACCTAGTAAATTAGAAACTCTGGAGCAGAGCCCAGTCATCTTTTAACAAGCCTTCCGGGGTGATCGTGATACTCAGTCAAATTTGAGAAGCTCAGGCCTAGCCTAGAGCTACAGCAGCTGTCCGCCCCCGCGCCCCCCCCCCCCCGCCCCCCCCGCCACAATTTCTCTCCATCCCATGTTGTCTGTCCTCAGGGGGTTGGTGGTGTGGTCATTGTTCCCCTCCCCGCGCCCCCTCCGTCCCTTGTAAGAAAAAGCTGTTTGGGTCTTTCCAAGCTATTGTGGTCACGTGAGCCCTGTTGTCTCAGAGAACCTGGGGAGGGATATGGCGTTTCCTTTCCTTGGAGATGAGCGATTGCAAAATGCTTTCTTTCTGCAGGTGAAAATTAGATAATCAGGCTTAGTAAACCTGATTACAAGCACAGCAGGATTTACAAAGCTTCACTCTCTCCAGGCACAAAAAAAGCCTCAGGGAAAGAAGCTGAGTGGCTTATCCCTGATGAAGGAAGTGACCCCAGACCACTCCGAATGAAGAATTGAAAGGGCTTGAAGATGCATTGCTGTGCGCCAGTGAGACCTTTTTCCATTCTTCTGTAAGATTTAGCATCTAGGATTTCCCCCAGAGGCGTTAGGTGTTTTCTGCATGATCCTCTGACTCAGAGATTGGAGTGAACCTATCATCTATAACTCTCTGGAGGAAACCCCTGCACCCACGTGGATGGGCGCATAAGCATTTGTCTGCCCTCCCACTTTGGGAAGGGGTGAGGTGGGGGGTGCTCCCTTCAGCTGCCCCTCCAGAGGGCTTGCTGTGGCAGAAAGAGAACTGAGCCCAGAGGTGTACATTCATGGAGCTTTGAGCTGTCTGTCTTCTATCCTCTAGTTCCTCTTGTTGGGTTTACAGGTAACTAAAATGAGACACAGAAAGGTTAATCAGCTTGTCAGTGGCTGATTTTTGTTTTTATACAGAAAAGTGATAATGAGGTAGAACTTCCCTACTATCTTGTGGGTTAATGATTGTCTAAAGCTACCAGCCACATGTAGTTCTCTTAAATCAATTAAAATATAAAATTCAGTTCCTCATTTGCACTTACCACTTTTCAGGGGCTCAATAGCTGCATGTGGCTAGTGGCTACCATATCAGAAAGGGCAAAATCAGAATATTTCCGTCACTGCAGAATGCTCTATTGGATGCACTGGTCTAAAGTGAGTGTTGTCATATCGTAAGTTGACATGTGTCATACATAAGTCATTTGAATCATCCACTTGTTTCCTTTAGTCTCAAAGATATTGCCACGAAAAAGAGGGTAACACTCAGTCCTCCAGCAGGCTGAACTAAAACGTAAGTAAGATACACTCGGGTGCTCAGATCTGTACCTCTGAAACAAATAATGCAATGTATGTTAAGAAGAAAAAAAGAGGAGGAAGAAGGTAGCGGGAGGGGAAGAATGAAGCGGGGGAAATCGGAGGGGTAGACGAACCATGAGAGACGATGGACTCTGAAAACAAACTGAGGGTTCTAGAGGGGAGGGGGGTGGGAGGATGGGTTGGCCTGGTGGTGGGTATTGAGGAGGGCACATTCTGCATGGAGCACTGGGTGTTGTGCACAAACAACGAATCATGGAACACTTCATCTAAAACTAATGATGTAATGTATGGGGATTAACATAAGAATAAAAAAAAAGATACACTCGGGTGTAAGAAAGATACACACTAGCTGTTTACCTGTCTGTTGTTTACAGGTCACTGTTTGGTATATAGTACCTGTGTATATTTGTTCACTCAATTATTCTCTCAGTCAGTATGCCTCTATTATATAGGTGCTCGGATATTGCCCTGCCCACAAGAAGCTGCTACTGTCCAGAGGAGACAGACAAAAGGACAGATCGTTGTAATGCAACATGGTATGTTTTAATATGTATAATGATATGAAGGGCTTTAAGGAAGCAGAAAGAGGAAATAAACATGCTGGGCCCAGCAGAATTTGCTAAGACTTCTCAGAGAGGGTGATATTTGAGCTGAGGCTTGAAGGATGGGCAGGAGTTTGCTAGTGGACTTAAGGCACCCAGCCACAGGAAAGCATGTGCAAAAGCACAGAGGCATGAAATGGCTGCTGCATGGGGCCGGGTGGGCACAGGTGGGGCCTGCTTCCTCACAAGTTGGAGCTTTGCCCTCTAGGCATTAGCAGGTATTTCAGGCAGTCTCCTTCGTACAGCCTTACTGTAGTAAATCCTAGTAAGGCTGATGGGTGTGGGCCTGTGGCCAGCTCAGCCGGTGGAGCATGTGACTCTTGATCTCGGGATCGTGAGCTCGAGCCCCACGTTGGGCACAGAGTTTACTTAAAAAAAAAAAAAGGCTAGTGGGTCATGTAGCTGAAGGTATCAAGGTCCGTTATGTGCTTTGCACTGGGCCTACACATGGTGAGTGCCCAACACTTCTTGATTCCTGTTCTTTCCCTTGCATGTTTGCTCCCATTTTCTATTAATAAGTTCTTACCTGCCTTTCCATGGTGTTTCTAAGTCTCTAGAAATGACTGATTGTTTATTTCCCTGCCTTTTTTTTTTTTAAATTTATTTGAGAGAGAGAGAGAGAGAGAGAAACAGCATGAGAGGGGAGAGGGTCAGAGGGAGAAGCAGGCTCCCTGACGAGCTGGGGGCCCGATGTGGGACTCAATCCCAGGACCCCAGGATCACGACCTGAGCGGAAGGCAGTCGCTCAACCAACTGAGCCACCCAGGCGCCCCCCCCGCCTTTTTTTTAAGAGAGGGAGAGAGAGAGAGAGAGAAAGAGAGAGAATCTTAACCAGGCTCCACCCATCATGGAGCCTGACATGGGGCTAGATCTTACAACCCTGAGATCATGACCTGAGCTGAAATCAAGGGTTGGACCCTTAACCAACTGAGCCACCCAGGTGCCCCACATTTCCCTGGCTATTAAGTCTAACAAGATCTTACCCTCCTATCTATTATGGGCTCATTGATATGGGCCTTTCAACAACAGTTAAAATGTCTACTTCAATTTATCTGCTTTCCTTCTCTTGCTAAGTTTTTCTCTTTCCTTTATGATATATGACCTTCCTGTATATAACTTTACAAAGGATGTCTCTGGTGTATCTATTATTGTCCATGACATCCTATCATAAGACAGCATTATAAATGGAGAATTTACAAGAATAACTTCATTTTTAAAAGGGCATCTGTTATATCTGAATGACTGCAGGGATTTCCATTTGAGTAAATGTGCCAGGCATATACTGCTCTTAATTCTGATGAATTAATAATAGGCACCTAATTCATCCTAGGTCACTAACATACAGGGCCAGCATACAAATGGAGGTACATTCCAAGTGTCTAAGTATTTAAAAACTATAAATCAAGCTAACAACTAAAATAAAATTTGCTTTATCTTTCCACATAAAGCCTCATAATGACAAAAATAAAACATACTTAAGGCAATAGCTTTTATATACAGAAAGTTGGTGAAATATGACTAAATCTGGGCGCCTGGGTGGCTCAGTTGGTTAAGCGACTGCCTTCGGCTCAGGTCATGATCCTGGAGTCCCAGGATCGAGTCCCGCATCGGGCTCCCTGCTCGGCAGAGAGTCTGCTTCCCCGTCTGACCCTCTCATGCTCTATCTCATTCTCTGTCTCGAATAAATAAATAAAAAAAATCTTTAAAAAAAAAAAAAAGAAATATGACTAAATCTAATGATATTGCACATGTCTGAATGTCCTTTTGATGGGCTACTGATTTTTGGGAAGACCAAAAAAGACACATAATTTATAAATGTTTCTGTTAATCTGTTTTTCTTACTTTTACTTTAGCAAAATCACTATGTTATCAAGATTTTTGGCAATGATCTGAAGGATTAAAAAAGAAATATAATTGTGTTCAAATACTGTTTGAATAGATTTACATTCAAGTATATATTAAAATAAATACAAAACAGAAAAATTAACTTTTTGGAATAGATATATTAAATAATATTTTCTTCAAAAAATTTTCAAAATTACTAAGAAGTAAAGAACAAATTATTAACCAATATCAACATTTTAATAAAAATAAATTTGAGGGCACCTGGGTGGCTCAGTTGGTTAAGCGACTGCCTTCGGCTCAGGTCATGATCCCGGAGTCCTGGGATCCAGTCCCACATCGGGCCCCCGGCTCAGCGGGGAGCCTGCTTCTCCCTCTGACCCTCCCCCCTCTCATGCTGTTTCTCTCTCTCTCTCTCTCAAATAAATAAATAAATAAAATCTTTAAAAAATATAAATCTGACATTTTATTTATTTATGTATGTATGTATGTATTTATTTTTTAAAGATTTTATTTATTTGACAGAGAGAGACACAGCGAGAGAGGGAACACAAGCAGGGGGAGTGGGAGAGGGAGAAGCAGGCTTCCGGTGGAGCAGAGAGCCCGATGTGGGGCCCGATCCCAGGACTCTGGGATCATGACCTGAGCTGAGGGCAGATGCTTAATGACTGAGCCACCCAGGCACCCCTTTATTTATTTTATCTTGAGAGAGAGAGTGCACCTGTGCCCGCCAGTGGGAGGAAGGGCAGAGGGGGAGGGAGAGGGACAAACAGATTACACTGGGCATGGAGCCCTACGTGGGCTCAACCTCATGACCCTGACATCACCACCAGAACCAAAACCAAGAGTCAGTTGCTCAACCGACTGAGCCACCCACATGCCCCATAAATCTGACATTTTAGATATATTTTTTAAAAATTTAGTTAAATGCTGTTGAATAGTTTAGTAAAAACAAAGCACTTTAAACTCTTGTGTTTGGTGTCCAGTATAAGAAATTGGTATCATGCTTCATGCCCGTTACAGCACATTTATGAGTATGCAAACTTGTATTTAATATCGCAAGATGTTCCTTAGTAGTTATGGTCAATTGTGTTGAATACCACCCTAAGTCATGAGAACCTCCAGAACCACAAATTAGAACATGAAGAGAAGCAAGGAAATGGGCCTTCAGCCTCCTGGGAAATTACAGTCTGTCATGCAAGAACCTCCTGCACTCACAGTATCTCAGAGGAAGGATTGGTAAGTTACTTTGTTTTGTTTTTCTCTAACCTAAGTGTTTGTGCCACTCACGTGCTTCCCACAACCCACTAACTGTCCTGGCATTTGTACTCAGGTGCCTTTTGTCTCGAGTACGAAGGGTGAGAGATGTTGGAGAAGCATCTTCCGGGGGCTTGACCAGTGTTGGTCACAGAGGAGATGCATCCTGGTAGCCCAGGTGGTAAGGCACAGGCCAGGAACCCCCCTAATCGGGGTCTAAGGGCAGGCCTAGATATGTCTACACCTTGTGTCTTGGTCGGTTTGGGTTGTTATAACAGAATATGATAGACTAAGTGGCTTATAAACAACAAATTTATTTTTCACACTTTTGTTGGCAGGGAAGTTCAGGATCAAGGCAACAGCAGATTCAGGTGTCTAGTGAGGACTGCTTTCTAATATATAGACAGCCCTCTCACTGAGCCCTCTATTACATGGTAGAGGGGTGAGAGAGCTCTGTGGAATCTCTCTTATAAGGAAACTAATCCCTCATCTCCTGATTACCTCCCAAAGGCCCTGCCTCCAAATGCCATCAAATTGGGGATTAGGTTTCAGTTTATGGAAGAATGACAGAATATTCCACCCCAAAATATGCCTCTTGGGCATAAGAATTATTTTGAGGTGATTAAGAAACAGCAGACATAGGAGAAGCTCAGAAAATGGAGTAGAAATTAAACTTTTGTAAGGGAAATTTACATTTATATGGGAAATCCCAGTGGTAAGGATATCTCCTTCTGCACCAGGAAGAGAAGGTTGTCTCGAAATCACAAGAGACTGTGACCAATGGAGAAGGTGCCTACCTGAAACTGGCCTCCCCAACACCCTTTCTTTTCTCTTTCTTCTTCTTCTCCTCCTTTTTTAAAAAGTTTATTTATTTGAGAGCGAGAGAGAGCGAGAGAGTGAGCATGAGCAGGGTGAGAGGCAGAGGGAGAAGCAGACTCCCGCTGAGCAGGGAGCCTGATGCGGGGCTCGATCCTAGGACCCTGGGATCATGACCTGAGCGGAAGGCAGACACCTAACCGACTGAGCCACCTATGCACCCCATCTGCCTTTTTTTTTTCCTTTTAAGTTTAGCTGAAGATGGTATTTAAGCCTGAATTCTAAGCCACCTCGAGAGTTAGATTTTTCCCTGGGTGTCTCCCATGTGTACATGGAGTATACATGTTAAAAAAAAACACTTCTTTTTGTTTTTCTCTTGTTAATCTGTCTTTTGTTACAAGGGCTCTAGGCAAGAACTTAGAAAGATATTTTTCCTCTCCTACAATATGAATTTTGAGGGAGACACATTCAGTCTGTAACCCCCTGGGCTGGAATTTTATTTATTACAAATATATTACCTCAGATCTAGGTGATAAATGAAACCTTAGCCTCTTAGAATTGTTTGTAAAAGATGAGTGAGTGGGGGAGAATGGTGTCATATCATGATACTCTGTATCACACGATTTTTTAAATGATGTTACTCTTGGGCACCTGGGTGGCTCAGTCGGTTAGGTGCCTGCCTTCGGCTCAGGTCATGATCCCAGGGTCCTGGGATCGAGCCCCGCATCGGGCTCCCTGCTCGGCGGAGAGCCTGCTTCTCCCTCTCCCTCTGTCTGCCGCTGTTCCTGCTTGTGCTCTCTCTCTATCTCTGTTAAATAGATAAATAATAAAAAAAAAATCTTTAAAATAAAAAAAATAAAATGATGTTACTCTTTCTACTACAGGAATTTAATGGAGGACATTTTTGTAAGTACACTGTCCTTCCCACTATGACACATAAAATCAAATTAGGCACTATCATTTCTCCACCCTGGTTCCAATATATATTTTATGAATCTTATATTTCATCTGACTGTGAGTCACAGATGTAGATTTAGGACATAATTTTCGTACTACCAGTTATGGTCACCGGGGAAACATGACTTGGGAGCCTCTTTGTTCCACTTCAGCAGGACTGGGGATGTCCCTAGAGTCTTGCTATGAAATGGCGGGAGTAGGGGTGGGGTGTACCTCAGGTCACCGGAGGCAGACTAATGGAAGTACCTCCCTTCCCAGAGTCAAGATAATTTTTTTTGGATCTAGAAGGGGAAAATAACTCTGATTAATTCATGTCTACATATATGATTATGTACACTGAGAAGATTAAACCACCTCTTTCAAATTCACAGGGTCCACTTATTATGTGGAAACAACTCTGACTTGGGCATTGCTTGCCTTTGATGTCTCTGGCTTCTGCTCTGGGGAATTACTCCAGCCCCTGGTGAGGCTGACTAGCCCGTGGCCCAGCACTTAACATTTAACATTTGCTATTAATAGGATGAATTGAAGCTAAAGGAGTAATATTCCGAGAGAAACTTTGAGGAGGCAGTTGGGGAGATGGGATAGGAAATTTCAGCAAAATGTCAGGATGAGTTTGGGGCTGCCTTTAAGTGACAAGGGGAAGGCACAAGAACAGATGCATGAATGTATCATGTGAACAGCTGAAGCAAGTGCACATTTGCATATATGATTTATGTTTGAACTGAGTGCTGTGTAGCACAGAAAGAGCAGGGAGGAGTTGGAGTGAGCCCATTGGCTTGCAAGTGGGATACTCAGGCTTTCGTAAAGAAACAGTCCATCTGCAGACTCCTCTTTGAACTGCCAGCTCACACTCAGGGGAGTTACAAGATCAATTGAGGCACATTAAAATTATGAAGCATTTATTTAAGCAAACATCCATTCCAGTTGGGCAACACCAGACAGGAAGTGATTAGGAGAACTCCACTGATAGGAGCTAGGGGCAAGACTTTCATAGAACAGATGTGGAAGCAAAGCAAGGAGATTATTTGATTGGCTACAGCTTAAGCAGTTGCCTTATTTGGGAAAGGCTTGTTGGCTATTTGTGATTGGTTGTCTTTAGATTTCAATTTCATAACCTTGAAGCATTTCGAGGCTTAGGTTTGGTTTCGGTTTGCTCATGTAGGCCACCAAGATATTAGAGCCACCTCACTTTAATGACCTCCTTGTTTAATTAATTTAACAGGGAACAGATCCTCTTCACACAGTGGTTGAGTGGGAAACTGGAGAATTTCTCGGAAAATACTCCCATCTTCCACCCTCCTTTGCGCCTCCTGCTCTGGTAAAATGTCATGCAAGGAAAGGACTGAGTCTTTGTGTTGACTGGCTAAAGTGGTCTCCTGCTAGAAACTGAGGGGAAAAGTGTACAATTACTTACCAAGATATCTTCCTGGGAGCCCACTGGTATTATGGTCACCTAACCTTTCTGTAAATTGCCTTTCATTCTTTCTCTCAGGGCAAGTATGAAGTATAAAGTCGTAAAAACAAATGCAAAACTTATTTTTTAGCCTCTACTTGCTTTGAAGATCTGGATTTAAATGATAGTAATAAACTCTTTCCCTATTAAAAACAACAAAATAGGGGTGCCTGGGTGGCTCAGTTGGTTACACAACTGCCTTCGGCTTGGGTCATGATCCCAGGGTCCTGGGATTGAGTCCCGCATTGGGCTCCCTGCTCAGCAGGGAGCCTGCTTCTCCCTCTCTCTCTGCTGCTCCCCCTGCTTGTGCTATCTCTGTCAAATAAATAAACAAAAAATCTTAAACAACAACAAAATATTTAAAATTTTCTGTATCTTTATGCTTCCAATTCTTTATTTTTTTAAGATTTTATTTATTTATTTGACAGAGAGAGACACAGCAAGAGAGGGAACACAAGCAGGGGGAGAGGGAGAAGCAGGCTTCCCACTGAGCAGGGAGCCAGATGCTGGACTCGATCCCATGACCTGAGCTGAAGGCAGCCGCTTAACCGACTGAGCCACCCAGGTGGCCCTCCAATTCTTTTTTTTAAAGATTTTATTTATTTGAGAGAGAGCATGCGAGAGAGAGCACAAGTGGTGGAGAGGGAGAAGGCAGCTGCCCATCTAGCAGGGAGCCTGATGAGGGACTCGATTCCAGGACCCTGGCATCATAACCTGAGCTGAAGGCAGATGCTTAACCAGCTGAGCCACCCAGGTGCCCTTCTTTATGCTTCCGGTTCTTTTGAGTTTGAATTCTCTATACAAACACATGATTGCTTACACCGGTACTTGAGTACCCTGTAATTCTTATATCTCTGGGTTTAGTTGTTACAGAAAAGTGCTGTCCAATATGGTAGCCACCAGTTAGTGGCTACTGAGAACTTGAAATGTGGCTGGTCTGACTTGAGGTGTATTATAAGTGTAAAATACACAGTGGATCTCAAAGTTTTAGTACATGTGGTGGACAGATTCTGAAATAGCTCCCAAAAATCCTTGCTTCACAGCTGTGTGGAATCTCCTCCCCTTTGAATGTGGGTGGGACCTGTGATTTGCTTCTAACAGAATATGGGAAAAGTGATGGGATGTCACTGCTACAGTTATGTTACATAGACTGTAACTTCCATCTTGCTAGCAGACTCTTTCTGTTGACTCCTTTGCTGGCTTGGATGAAGTAGCACACCCTATGGAGAGACCCATTTGGCAGGGAACTAAGGGAAGCCTCAAGCTGGCAGCCAGCCGCAAGATGAGCCCTAGTCTGGTAGCTCACACAGAACTGAATCCTGCCAATAACTATGAGAGCTTCCCCATTTGAGCCTCAGATGAGACCCCAGCCCTGGCTCACACCTGGATTGCAGCCTCGTGAGAGACCTTGAAGCAGAAGACCCACTAAGTTATGCCCAGATTCCTGACCTACAGAAACTATGAGATAATGTGTTCTTGTAAGCTGCTAAGTTTGTAGTAATTTATAATGCTACAATAGACAACTAATACAGAACCAAAAAAGAATGTCCACTATCTCATTAATAATTGTTCATTTTATTTATTTATTTTTTAGAGAAAGAGAAAGGATGACTGGGGCAGGGAGGGGTAAGGGGAGAGGGAGAGACAATCTTAAGCAGGTTCCATGCCTGATGTGCAGAGCCAACATAGAGGCTCAGTCTCATGACCCTGAGATCATGACCTGAACTGAAATCAAGAGTCAGATGCTTGGGCGCCTGGGTGGCTCAGTTGGTTAAGCGACTGCCTTCGGCTCAGGTCATGATCCCGGAATCCTGGGATCGAGTCCCACATCGGGCTCCCGGCTCAGCAGGGAGCCTGCTTCTTCCTCTGACCCTCCCCCCTCTCATGCTGTTTCTCTCTCTCTCTCTCTCTCTCTCTCAAATAAATAAATAAATAAAATCTTAAAAAAAAAAAGAGTCAGATGCTTAACCAACCCAGGGACCCCAATAATTGTTTAATATTGATTATATTTGAAATGATACTATTTTGGATATATTAGTTTAAATGGAATATTTTACCAAAATTAATTTTACCTTTTTAAAAAAACTTTTTTAATGTGGCTACTAGAAAATTGAAAATTTAAAATATGTGGCTTGCATTATATTTATGTTGGACATCACTGGCATAGAACTCCAAGGACACAAGAATTTCATGGAGTTTATGCAGCCCAGCATGCTGGAGAGAGTGGGTTATATCCTAGCAGCACCCTGTCACTTACTGGGGCATGCTATTGAAACAGAAAATAGTCTGTCACTTCTGGAAAAGAATGATTCATTCTTTTTGAAGAGGGGGGAAACTGCTGTATAATTTTTGCCCAGAGGTAAAATCTGCTTAGTCTTCTTACTTTTGGATGCTGCCTTCAGGGTTTAATTTGTTTCAAATTAAGAGCAGGTGGCAGATGCAATTAAAGGAAAAAACAATTGCAAATTAAGCATGATTTTTATTTTAAAAAATTTTTTAAAGATTTTATTTATTTATTTGACAGAGAGAGACACAGCAAGAGAGGGAACACAAGCAGGGGGAGTGGGAGAGGGAGAAGCAGGCTTCCCGCCGAGCAGGGAGCCCGACGCGGGGCTCGATCCCAGGACCCTGGAATCATGACCTGAGCCGAAGGCAGACGCTTAACGACTGAGCCACCCAGGCGCCCTTAAGCACGATTTTTAAAACTTATTTGCAATGACAGCTACACATTCAGGGAATAAATGCTAATTATTTTGAATTATTTGTTTACTCATTGTGTCATATGTGTGCCATTTACTGATTAATGCTTTACAACTTACGCTACATCCTTTATTGCTAATTAGTAAAGCTAAAATGTAGGGTGCCTGGTTGGCTCAGTCAGTAGACCGTGCGATTCTTGATCTCAGGGTTATGAGTTCAAGCCCCATGTTGAATATGGAGCCTACTTAAAAAAAAAAAAAAAGCTAAAATGCTGTGGCTGGTGATTCTGAGTTCCAGGAGACTCTTCAAACCATACCCCCTCTGAAAGATCGTGATTTCCCCCAGGTGTGTGCTCACATGTGACTCCCCAGGGAATTGCTGCTGATATGAATGTAGATTGTTATAACCCTCCAGTGTGCTGGGATGGAAAAAAGTAGGTGTTGAGAATAGCTAAAAGGTAATCAAGACGTTTGAGTGCCCTGGGTAGAGTAACTCATTGTTATGCCTTTAAACATGTTAGCTTAAAATATTTGTACCTTCCTGTAGAGAAGAGTTTGAGACATTTAGGGAAGAATGAGGAATTCTCTGTGGCAGCATCATCCTACATGTCCTCTATTATCTCAAGCAAATTAACCGGCAAAACAAAACAAACAAAACAGGTTAACAGTTTTGGTATTATTTCATTCAAGTACTTCCCCGAGTATCTATCAAATATTTCTTCAGGGCGCCTGGGTGGCTCAGTTGGTTAAGCGACTGCCTGCCTTCGGCTCAGGTCATGATCCTGGAGTCCCAGGATCGAGTCCCGCATCGGGCTCCCTGCTCAGCAGGGAGTCTGCTTCTCCCTCTGACCCTCCTCCCTCTCATGCTCTCTTTCATTCTCTCTCTCTCAAATAAATAAATAAAATCTTTAAAAAAAAAAAAAATTTCTTCAAACCACATACATAATTCGCCAGAGCAGAGGGTTTTAAATAAAACATTTTCTGGGGCACCTGGGTGGCTCCTGGGTGGCTCAGTCGGTTAAGCGTCCCACTGTTGATTTTGGCTCAGGTCATGATCTCAGGATCTTGAGATCGAGCCTCACATCCATGCTGGGTGTGGAGCCTGCTTAAGATTCTCTCTCCCACTACCCCTCCCCCCGCCCCAGCTCTCTCTCTCTCTCTGTCTCTCAAATAAATAAACCTAAAAAAAAAAGAGAATTCCAAATGGTTAATAAAGAGCTGAAAAAAAGTTTAATCTCACTGACAGTGAAAATGCAAATAAAAATGACATCTTTTTTCCAACAAAATTAAAAAATATCTTTTACACTATAATTCTCACATTTAGCAAAGGTTTGCGAATTAGGGACTCTCACTAGTGTTGTGAGTATAAATTTCTAGAGGACAATTTGGCAGTTTATTTTCAAGACCCAGCCTTCCACTTTTAGGAATATATCATAAGAAAATAACTGGAAATGAAAACAGAACACATGCATAAGGATGTTTATAATGTAATGTATAATAGAAATAAATGTCCAATTAGAATATTGTACAGTCATTATGAATAATGTTTTGAAGAATATATAATGACAAAAATTTGGTAAAACCTGCCAAAAACATGTTCTGAGATAACACAAATTCAGGTACAAAGTGATTGCATCTCATCCTCATCAGTTCCCTTTCTCTGCTGGGGTACACTAGAGTCCTTATCTTTTGGGGTGTGGGGAATGTAGGAGGACGAGGCTGGTCTGGGAAACAAGAGACATCCCTTCTTGGGAAGCAGGGAAGTGGAGTTTTGCTCCAGTGTTTTTGTACCTCCAAAAGATTCTAGAAATTGCCGTTGGCTATCCTGGAAGTCCTGTCAATCCCTGAACCCAGAATCGTCCCCATCAATATTTCAAGCAGACAGATGCCACGAGGTGCACCAAACTGAAGCCAGCACTTGGGTGGGTTTAGATTTGACTGGCCACCTGCACGGGTCATTCCAATCATTTCATTAACCTTATAGTGATGTGACTTCAAATTTTGTGGTTAAATTTTTTACTGTTTTCTACTGAGTGAAAAAAGCAAGATAGAAAATTTTATGCACATTTGCTCCTAATTCAGCAAAACAAATAAAGCAACTCTAAATATACAGATAGAAAAAGCAAAAATAAATTTACAAATTTATTCGTGGTTACTTCTGATTAGTGAGCTATGGGTAATTTTAATATTCTTTCTTTTAAATTCAAGTGTAATTAACAGTGTTATATTAGTTTCAGGTGTACAATATAATATTCTTTATTATACTTTTCTGCATTTTTCAAATTTTTTCTACATTGGACACATTACTTTTAAAATCTGAAGAAATACTTATAAAAGAATATTGAGAGGAGGGCACCTGACTAGCTTAGTCAGTAGAGCACGTGACTGCTGATCTCTGGGTTGTAAGTTCGAGCCTCTCACTGGGTGTAGCGATTACTTAAAAATAAAATCTTAAAAAAAATTTTGAAAGGAACTTTTTTTTAAACTCAAAGATCTACATACAAATATATGGCTCTCAATAGAGAAATCGCTCTTCAATCTAGCTAATTAAATTCATCTGGTTTTATTTTAACGGCTGACTATTACAGAATGCGGCTTCCTTGGAGTGACATCTTAAGACTATTGGATAAGATGTAAGCAGCATCTGCTTTAGATATTGTTCAGTGGAATCTTGAACAACTGCGTTGACAGATTCAGAAAGGATTTCACAAAGTCTGAAAATGTGGTCCCTGTTCCAGGTTTAGTGTAACATTTCATTAAACTACCATTGTATTATATGTTACAACATTCTTTTGGTTAATAAAAATCTTTAATCCAGTCATCCTGGCCACTTAAAACTTTAGTCATCTCTTGGCGCATAAGGGACCCTCTTGCTTTAAACCTAACAGAAAGTGAAAAACCTGGAAAAACAAAGAGACGTGGAAATAAGACTGAAAGTCATCTGGGTATGAAAAATGCACATAACCTTCCCACTCTTTCAATTGCATTATTTCCATGCAAAGGACCATTTCGGGTCCACATGCAAATGGCAAATGATGTATAGCACTTTTGTGGGCTAGAGATTCTTTTCTGTGAGGCGGAAGTGAGGTTTCAATTATTTACACTAGAATTTAATGACCCTATTAGGCCTTGACTCCGCCTCCTAGCCAGGAGTGGAAGGGGATCTTAAAAAGATCCCTCAAAGGGAATGAGCCCACCCAGCTCAGGCCTTCCTCGGGGAAAAGCGAGGCCAACCCCAAGCTTTTCTTCCTCCCCAACTGGATGCTCTGCAGGGAGAATAAAATGAGGAAGCTGAAGCTTTGCCTGGGGATTTTTCATTATTTTTTTCTACAGCTCAGTTCTTAATTTTTCTTCGTTTTTCCTGGGAGTTTTTTGCCTGTGTCATCTGGACCTGAGAGAACTGGTCTCACTTGTCATGGGATGGATGAAATGAGGTAATACTATAATTTCTGTTAAAGAGCCTGTGAATGATGGAAGGAGGGCTCCTGAGGAGGGGGAGGGGCATCCCGAGGCCCCTGGGGCTGGAGAAGGTGGGCTTTCTACTCCCTTGTTATGTGGGAGTCCAGGAGGGAAGGCCCCAGAATGTGCTGGGTTATTAATTTATTTAAATGACTTTACCTATTTGTGAATGAATGATACAAAATTCAAAAAGTGCAAACCAGTATGTAATGAAAAATGGGTCTTACTTTTCTGCCCTGGCCAGCCAGTTCCCCTCCTTGGCGGCAAGCACTGCTATCAATTTCTTGTGTATCTCTATGGAAATACTCTTTTTCTGTCTAGTTTTGTTTTGCTTTGTTTTGTTTTTAAACACAGATAATATACTGTACATACTGTTCTGTACTTTTTTTCATTTAAGAATTTATCTTGGAGATTTTTCTTTGTAGTACTTGTAATGCTCTTTTTCTCTTTTA